CGCCAAATTTTCTGTTTCTTTATCACGTTTTTGTAATCTTCCAGTGATTTATCAAAGAATATAGGGAATGTGGAGATCATTTTTATTAGCTGACTGTTGGTATCGTTATCTTCCAACATTTGCTCGAAATCATCCAATTCCTCTAACTCGGCCATTTCACATTACTAAGAAGATGAATAGATAATTAACAATAAAAAATTAATAAACAGATAATTTACTTATCTAATTATTACCCTGAAACTATCCTTCAAATAAACATTGATTATATACAAAACAAAACTTTGAATTTTTATTTTATAATCGTAATTTAAATCCAATTTTAACAAATATCTCATTTTACTTTACGAAATATTATCTACAATTTTTTATTCAAATTTTTGTTTCAAATTAAATATGAATTTTTTAATAAAATTTAAAAAAGAGAATTTATTCATATTTTTAAACGAAATACAATGATTATTGAAAATATTTCATTGAATTATATGAAATTTAGTTTGTTAAAAGTAAATAAAATCTACCATTTCAAGATTTTAAAGTAAAATTAAAAGAATGCAATTGAATAATTATTTTTCAAGAAAAAACATTATAACTGAAAATAATTTTCATGTAGGTCTCTGAATGTTTGTCAGAAAATAATTATAGAGATAATTTTATTAATTTTCACAAAATGTTTGAATTCGAGGTTAGGTTAAGTGTATAAACCTGCCTTTGGTTAAGCTATTCTATTGTCATAATGAAAAAATAAGAAATAAATATATCGTAAATAAATGATCTATATTTCTGAATACATAAGTTATCAATTGTATATTTTTTTATATATACTTACTAAAACAAAACGAACCTTATTCCAACAATATGTCAATAAATCTGAATGTCAATTTTGGGTGCACTCTCGATTTTCAAACTGTGAACAATTAACTGCTTGAATGAAAACCCAGACTCCCATTTTCCGAAAAATGTACAAATCGACAAAAGCGCCCTCATTTTATACCGGCTTAAAGACAAAACTTTTTGTCTTTATAAATGGACATCTAGCTATCTATATCTGATAATTTTGGGACTCTCATCTATATAATGCATCGATTGTGATCGTGTTACGGCCTGTTGAATAAAATTGTTTTTATTACATCACATGTGTCTCGTTTTTTATTTTCAAAATGTCCAAAGATGATAACGACTTCAACAATGAATTGATAAAAATAGCGAGATTAAATTCTTGGATTTTTAACAAAAACATTGTCAATAGACAAATCTATGAGATGAAATCGTGGGAGGATATAGATGCTGCACTCGAAAAGAAGGGAATCAGTGTAAAAAGTAAGTAATTATTATTATTATTTCAACTAATTGCCCATATATTTCTGCATCTTATTATATTAATTATGCCGGTTATTTGGTATTTTTACTTCTTTTACATTATTTTTTCAATCAATGTTCTCTTTGATCCGATTCAATCCCCTGAATACATAACTTCTAACAAAAATTTTATTTTATCAGGAAAGAAAAATGCATGTAATCAATTAAAATTTATTTTAATAAGTTTGAAAATTAAATTAAAAAACTTGAAACATTTATGAACATTATGTATTATTCAAAATATAATTTATAACTTAATGTAACAGAAACTCAAGAAATTAAATAATAAGTATTTAACAACAAATTTAGAATGAAAAATTTAGTTTTGAAAAGTGTACAATTTAATGTAAAATTCCTATTCTTAAAATTAGTGTCTAATTTTGAGTTGTATAAGTATTTTGAAAGTAATTTAAGAAATTTAAAGTAATTCACAGAGATTATAATATAAATTAATTATTATTATCTTGATCATAATAGAAACTTAAAACATTTATAACATATAAATTTAATATTATAGATGGCTCAAAGTGTCGCTGGAAATCTTTGAGGGATCAATTTGTCCGAGAAGACAAATTAGCAGAAAAGAGATGGATTCATTATGAAAAATTGCTTTTTTTAAAACCTTACATTTCGCATAAGAGGTAATGTAGAAATAATAATAAGTTTTTTAATTCATATTTTGTTTCTATATTTATCGGTGGTTATGTTGATTTTTAAAATAAATTAAAAATTAGTATTGAAAAACATTTGTCAAAAATTGATTAATAATTGTAGTTTAGGCTGAGAACAATAATTTTCACTTCATTTTTGAACAAACGATTACTGTCAGCTAATTTTGTATAATTAATTTAGTTTTTTAATTTGACAGAGAACCAAGAGCAAATTCAGATGTCTTAATTCCTTCCTCACGAAATTTTTCTGGGCCGTCAAATGTGACCATCCCAAATAATTTAACCTCATTACAAGTTTGTAGTACAGGTTTGTATATATTATTTTTGTTATTATTTCATATAATGAAATAGTAATGACAATTAATGTCAAAATAAGTAATGTAATAAAGATGTCTGTATTAAAAATTTTTTAATATTAAATGATTCACATTTTAAATGAAGTAGTTCAGAAGTAATATAAAACAATTTTATTGATTCAAAAATGATTTTATAAAACGTTCCGGATTATATAATAAAAAATATATGTTTGAATTTCAGCCCTATACAACCTAATTTTTGGGCTTTTTGCTTTTAATATCATTTTTAAAATTAGTCCTTAAGAAATATTAGAATAAAAAGAAAATAATAAATATGTATGTAACTATAATTTTGTCAATATTGACTAAACATTGCATTGCAATATTACTTAAATTACAACAATGCCATGTCCACTAAAACCTTGTCGAATATTTTAACACAAATGAATAAACACATACATTTTTTTAGGAAAAGAGCTTCCCCAATTGGTATATATACCAAATACTAACATCCATAATATGGAAAATAACTCCAGCAATTCACTTGATTCGATAACTCTCACTGAGGAGGAGAATCCTATCGCTACATTTTCATCAGAGCAAATGGAATTACCTTTTCCGAAAGAAAATTCCTTCCAGCCTATGATCGTAATTGAGGATAACTCTTTAAACTCGTCAATTGTGGATAACAATTCTGTGAACTCGTCAACTTCTTCATCGATTCAAAATTCTCTACCGAAAGAATCTAACAAATCATCAATATTTCGGAAAAAAAGCGCTCTTTTCCTGCACAAATAAATGCTCGAGATGACATAAATAAAAGTTTGGGTCATTGTAAGAAAGCAAAGGAAAAAAATGAAATTGTGCCCCCACTGGATAACTTTGCAGTAAAGAAAATGAAAAGTCAAGACAAAAAAGTTCTAGTAGAAGATGCAATTGTCAGTTGCTCTGCAAAAATTGAAAACATGACAGACAAATGTTCAAATTTAATGGACATAAAAATTAAAATTGCCAACAAGAAACTGCACGGAGAAGAAAAGGGAGAAGCAGTAAAATCAGTGCAAAACACGATTTCAGCCGATCCTGTCGACGGTTTTATAAATCTGTTGCAGGAAGATTGGCTGTCTCTGTCGGTGGAAGATCAGAAAGAATTATTTCCTGTGATGCTTGATGCGATGGAACGATTCCAAGAAAGTAGCTAAATAAGAGTAAGAGTTTATATTTTTTTATTTCTCTTTATTATTTTACTTATAATATATTTTTTTATTTCTCTTTATTATTTTACTTATAATATGACAGATAAGTCTTCGCTTTCTGTGATTTGTGCAAATGTGCAAAATCATTGCCAAGCACGTTTTCAGCCGATCATGTCGACATATAAATATATTACAAACAGATTGGCTGTCTTCGTTTTCTGTGATTCATGCAGTTAAAATGTTAGTGTGTTCAACGCAAATATATATTTTTTAAATATATACCTTATATTGTTTCAAGAAGGTAACAATTGTTGACAGAATAAATTATTTGTCGAGTAAATACATTTTACTCTTCTCTATAAGCATTAAATCACATTGTAAAATTTAAAAAATTATAACATCACGATAATTATTTGTTTTAAAAGTAAAACATATTGTATAAATGTTTTATTCACTAAAAACTTAACTATTTAATAACAATATTTTTAACAGTTGTCATGAAAAATCGACAAGTATTAAATACTCAACAATTGTATTTTTGACTCTGTATGATTTTAATCCATAAAAATTATTTTAAGCTGATAAAAGTAAGATTAAAAACTTCGATTGCTGTGACTACTTTTATCTTATTACAGTCGTAATAATAATATTAATGTGTTCTGTATAGTTTTATTTAAAGATAGTTAATGTATGTGATATAACTTATAAGAATTGTTGTTTTAAGTACATTTTTTTTATTTCAATTATTAAAATTTACCCTGCAATAAAAAAAATTGTATTAGAAAGACTGCGTTAGCTGTGACTACTATAGTTATTCTGTTATTGTATTATTGTAGTTATTTGTATGGAATTGTTAATCCAAAAAAATAATATTAGATATATAAATAATAAAATTATATGATTTTCTATAAATTCACGTGCAGATTTTTATTTTAATGAAATTTTATATACACTGAAATTATTAATTGTTTTAAAAACTTTTCTGCAAATTGAACAATTTGTATTACAAATATATTACAACTATAGTATACATCAAACAATTTGAAAAACTATTAAATTTTTTCTTTAATAAGAACTATATGTGAAAAATAATTTTGATGCTTAAAGAAATACCAATAATAATTTTTCTTATCCAATATATTTCACACTTTTTATCATTTTTAAAATAAAAAATTATAAATTTAACAAATTATTTATAATGTACATATTTTCAATAAGTTTCTAATAATTAATGGTTGACAAAATAATTAGCCAACACATTTCTCAACTCATTTTCGTCTATGTCTGCATTTATAAAACCATTTGGATCGACAAATTCTCCTTCATTTTCTCTATTTTCTTGAATAAATTGGTCCATTAATCTTTCAGGGAAATAGTGGCGATTTTCTTCATTATCTGCCATTTCTCTGGTTATAATAAAATTATGCAGGCATACTAATGCTTGCACAATGGAAATTGAAGTTTCTAACTTGAATGACATTTTATTCTGCAATATTTGCCATCGAGAGGATAGAATTCCAAATGCGCATTCTATAGTTTGTCGTGCTCTTGATAATCTGCAACAATTATGTAAACTTAAAATGTGAAAATGAAACATTTTTAATAATGATTAACAATGAATTAAATGTGCTAATTTCTTTTTTAACTATTCCTAACAATACATTACAAATATTTAAAATAAAATGAGGGTAAAATATAAATAATGTATAGTGAGTGTGAATTTTTTTTTTAATTTACCGATAATTAAACAATTCCTGTAAACGAGTGAGGGGTCGGTTTCTCTTATATGGCACTACCATATAAGGTCTTAGTGTGAAAATTCCATCACCAATTATAAAATAAGTTGTCATTTCATTTGAATGTGGTAGGTTTGTTGGATTTGGTATATTAGCCAAATTATTTTCTAAACGTCTATAAAATTCACTACGTTGGAAGCTTGAAACGGCACTTACACCACCTTCAAGTAAAATTAAAGAAATTAATATTATATCCCTTTATTAAGAAGGAATAATGATTTAGTTAAAATTTTTCTAACTCTTGAAGAATTATATCCTTTGTATTTACCATAATCTCCAATTTCTACCCACGTAAAACGAGAAAAAGCATCACACATAGCCATAAGTTTGAAACTGTGAAATTTTTTGTAGTTAAAATAACGGCTCCCTTGATTGTCTGGTCTTTTTATGGCAATTTCTTTGCCATCCATTGCACCAATGCAATTCGGTAAGTCCCATTTAACTCTAAAACCTTGAGCATTTACTTTCCAATGATCAGAAGTCAAATTTCCGTTTAAATACAAAACTTGAAGACATTCCCAGATGATCGGACAAACTTCTTGGATAATACTGTAGGAAGTCGATAAACCAATTCGGAAAAAGTTGCTAGTAGTGTAAAAGCTGTCACCATGGGCAAGAATACTGAAATGATTATTATACATGTCAAATGTTTATAAATTGTATAATTTTACATATTTATTCAATAAAGTTAAAAATTTTACAATAAATTAATTACAATTAATGACACAGGCACACAAAATACTTTAATTAAATTTCTAATGATAAACTGATAAAGTTATAACTTTTTAAGATTACTTTACAATTTGTATATTTACTGTAATAAAATTTTAATTTAAGAAGTTTAACAATTTTTTTCTAATAAAATTTTAAAAAAGTAATTACAAATATTTAAAGTAAATACATCTTTAAAAATTAAATTTAATTAATATTTTTTAATAATTTTCCATGATAATGAATTAATTTTGAAATATTTTTAAATTACAATAATTTTCAAATTGTGGGTGACAGTTTTCACAACTTAAATAACTTTGTGAAATCAATTATATATCAATAACACTTTATTTTGATGCTAGGTCAAGAGGATAAATTTCTCCAAATACAATTATTTTATTTCAAGACTGAAATCGACTAAAAATATGAAGACAATTAAATTGTTTGTAATTTTACTATGCATTATATTCAATTAATACATAAATTAAGATAATTTTATTAAAAACTTACCACAAAGTGACAGCCAAACGAAGTCTCGTGGATAATGGCCTTCTTAAACTTCGCTTTTGTAATCGGTGTCTTATTAATTGATGTAATTCCTCGAATTGTTCGACACTCATTCTAACCATTTTTCTAAAGTTTTCATGGTCACTTCTAATAAAATACATGAAAAGAGCATCATATGCCCCAAACAAGTCTCTAACGTGATCTCTTATGTGAGGTTTCACCCACCATCGCCGAAAAACTTCCTTGGTAAGGGTTAAGTACAATCTAATTAAATTAAACCACTCCAGGCAGATTAAAATCACTGTCATTAAATCTTCCATTTTTTTAAAACAACAAACAATGTAATTTAAACATGCGGGAAACACCGACCAACGAAAGGAATAGACACAACATTGAATTTCAGCAGTTGGCAACACTAGTTTCGTGACGTCAGAACGCGTGCGTTGCGTTGACGCCGCGCGCGCGTATTTCCCATTCTGGAAGCGGCCTAATGTATCTCCACACTGAGAAAAAAAGCACGCCGTTTCAGCGGTAAAGTCATGCAGTTTCTGCATTAGTGACACTGCAAACAGAAAACGGCTGTTTTGACATTGGAACACTGCAGTTTCTGCATTGGAATACACAGCAGTTTTTGGCAGTGCTGTACAAACTTAAAAATTAATTTTTAATTCTTTTAAAATACATTTCTTAAACATCTTATAGTTAATTACTATATAGTAATAACAAATGTTTTTATAATAATTATAATTTATTTCATAATAATATAACTTATTAATATATATTTAGGGTAAAATGTACAGTGACCGACACCCAGACAGTGAACGACACCTGCTATTAAAAACGATAATAACTATAAAAATAATAATATTGAATTACATATCACTAGTAAATTAATTAATATACAATATTTAAAAACTTATACAGTTTATACAAAATTTTATATGTTTATATTTTCCTCAATATTTAATACTTTCTAGAAAACTAACCTCAAAAAATTTGCTTTATTGATTACAAATTTTATAAATATGAAAATATTGTTAAATAATTATATTTTAAAAGCAACTTTTTTTGTACATTAAATCTGAATAATAAAATTTATGATAATACTAATAAATATCATGTTACTTAAATAGAAGTTTAAATATTTGTTATTTTATTAAAGGGTGTCGTTCACTGTTTTCATATACCATACATTTTTAAATTAATATTATAAACTCTTATCAAGGTGTTTTTTAATTTTAAACTTGTGTACTATAAATTTTAACCCAAATCTTTTATTTAAAATTTATTTTATAACTAAATCTTTAATAAATTACGATAAAATGTCATTTAAAGTTGAAAGTATGCCCAGGGTGTCGGTCACTGTATCCCTTACCCAATGCACCAAAAAATTAAGTCAAATGACAAATATAGAAATTAATTTAATTAATAAAATAAATAAAAAATAATAATAATAATAAAATAATGAATAAATAAAAGAAAGTAGATAAATTTAAACGTAATTTAAGTTATAAGAATAATTTTTTGTAATTTAGTCAATTTTTATCAAGTAAATTTTTAAAATACAAAAGAGGTTAAAGTTAAGAAAGTAAAAATTAGAAATATAAAGAAAAAGTCTTTTACAGGAAAGAATTTTATTAACATATATAAGTTTACAAAATTAGGAGAAACAAAAATTATAATACATATTTGCAAGCAACGAAACAATTTTCTCCTTTTTCTACTAATAGACATGGATGAATGTTCGGCAATTCAAGACAATTTTTTAAAATGTATGTTTCACGTGCTACTACATTGTAAGCAAAGAATTTTTCATCGAAGAAAATACTTACCAAAGGTTGCATTACTAAAAATACTTGCTTTTCTTTAATAAATATTTCGATAACTTTTCCGAAAACAAGTAAGTCATTCGGTCCCATTTCAACTACAAAAACCATTTTTTCTTTATACTCAATTCCGTTTGATTCAACACAGTCAGTTGAAAAAATTTCATCTGTAATACAACTTCTTGGAAAGTACTTTCTTCTGGAAAACTCGTCGATTTCCTTGAAATGATCAAAAATTAAGTTATCATAAGACAAATTTCCAATCAGTTTTAAATATGCTAATCGGAGTTGGTTTCGCAGAGCCAAAGATTTTAAAAGATTCATTGTATTGCAAGTAGTTCCAGATGCTACTTTTAAATGTCGATGTTTTTACTCGTATCGCATCGACCAAAAGTGTACAAGAGGACCATTTTTTTTAATACTCGTGTAATATGAGTCATATTATGAAATTTGTACTTGAGATGTCCGAAAAGCTGTTTATACGAACTTAAAAATTTTGGAATGAGTTCATCAAGTTGCATAATATGACCTTCCACTAACCTTGGCGAAGTTAAAAAATTCACGATTTTTCTAAGCAAAATGTATAAAGCCCAAGTTTCATCTTCTTCATCTTGGATTTTGTCTCCAATAAGCAAACCGAAATATCTTACAAAGGACATCGTTTCCGCGGCAGTCATTTTTAACTTTTCTTTCGATGTAATGTGTCCACTTTTTAATAATGGTATTTTGTTTGAAACTTCTATTTGCTCGTTATTAAATTTTTGAATCCTCTGATTCAAAAATTCAAGGGAAAACAATTTTTTTTCGAAAATAAAATAGTTCACGATTTTAAGCAATGTGAAACTGGCCGTTCCCTCAAATATGTCGTGCATTAAATCCAAAATAATGTTATCGCAAACGTGAAAACCAAAAACTTGATGAAAAATGCATTCTTCATTAATACCTGTTGCAGATGGATTATTTTCGTCGCAATCCTGTTGGTAGGATTCTTTTGTTCTTAAAAGATCATCTTTTTCGTTAATTAAATTTTTTATCTCATCAATAGAGGCCTTACAGATTCTGCATGGTTTCCCCGAATTGAAACTTTCTACGAAGCCTAATATTTCATTCAGTCCGAGATTGTCGCCCAAAATCAAACATAATTGGAAAAAAATCTTATATACCTTGTTTCCAACTAGTATGTCTAAACCTTTCTGTCGTAATTCATTTAATTCTGATATTAATTCTTTATAAAAGTCTTCATTTTTACATAATTTCCTATCATTAGCGTAAGTTAAACCAGTTAACAAAATATTGTCTAATTGCGTTACAAATTGCGAAGGAAAACAGGGTATTGAAGTATACATTGCGCCTACTTTATTTTTACCTGCGTGAGGACCGAGCGCGTTACCTAATTCACAATCATCTTGAAAAACAAATAATGGAACGACAAGTTCGTTGTTTTTGGACTTATATTTTTGCTTCCAAAGTTCTCCCTGGATAAAATTGCTATATATATTTTTTTCATTTTCCAATTCGTCCATATAATTTTTTAATAACTGAAACGTACCGGGAATTTCGAGGAGTAATTTTAAACTCCATTTTAACGGCATGTATTGCCCAAACAGATCAAATTGTTTTGTAATTAATTTTTTATCATTAACTTCTTCTACGTATTTGTGACCAATTTTACGCTCTTTAGGCATAAACAGTAACCCTTTTTCTTCATATAAAGCAAATCTCTTATATTCAGTTTGAAACTTATCAAAAATTGTTTTTGATGAATCACAGGCTTCTTTGACTTTATCAAGAAGTATATTGTGATGCTCTTTAAATTCTACAGTAAGTTTTTCTAGTATATAATTTTGATACGTAACATTTACAAAATTTGTAATCGAATCAACAAAAATGTGAATAACATTCTGCGGTATAGAAAGATTATTATATAACCCCAATGTTAATTTTAACATTTCCATTTCCAAATCCATTTTTGGAACAGCCATGATGTCTTAAACGATTATTAAATTTATAAAAAAAAAATTTATTCAAATAATTAAATAATTTAAATTTAAACAAATTTTATCTCTAAAATCACAGTTGCGCCCAATCATTAACTGATCAAAAGTTATTTTAACTTATTCAATTCATCCATGAATTTTGTTACGGTTGTATATTGGTGAGCAGATTTTAGTTTAACTTTATAAATATGTCTTTGTAAAAAAGTCCATAAGTGTTTGCACTCGGGGGTGAAGTCGATATTCAAGGCAAAAAATGATTTAAAGCAATAATCGACTGCGTCTGCTACTTTGTTTGTTTCAACTTTGAAGATGTAGTTATCAATAACTACATAAACGCTTATTTCTGGGTTTCCGTCTTCTTCCAAATTTCCAACAACTGCAACGTATGGACCAACTGGTTTGCCGTGTACATTTGCATTTGCAGTTCTTTGTTCCTTAAACTTGTTTAAATCTTCTTGCGTCTAATAAAAAATCTAGGTTATTAACTTTTCATAATAGAAAGTAGTTTCTGTACTTTATTTATAATAGTCGTTTCAAAAAACTTAAAATTATATTTTCTCACCAAAAGGAAAAAAATTATAGAATTAAACTTTGTAATAACTGTAGTTATTTGAAATTAAAATGATATAAGGCCTCGACTTTTTAGAAAAATGATATAAATAATTCTGTACCTGCACGTTAACGATGAAAGAGTTTTTCACATCCTCGGAACAACACCCGAATGGTTCGAATCCTTTTCTTTTTTTCAATAGCACTCCTAAAAGGCGAGGCAAGCAAAGCAATCCTAATATAGAGTATTTCTCTAGAAAAATAATTTCATAAATGAAACACAATTTTTGGTATTATTTAATTTCTATAAAGCTAAATATTTCATACTTTACCTGATGTAACAAATACTTCCTCAGACAAGAACAATTTCTTTTTTGATGTTGCATACGACACTATTAATTTCGAAACATCATCCCAAGAATCGGTAAAGATTTTAACTGAATCTGGATACACAGCATCAAAATCTTGAGAAATCTGTAAATAATAATTTTATTAATAATAATTTAAAATTTTTTAAATTTCCACAATAAAAGATATTATAAAAAATAACCAAAATATGTCCAATCGGCGATCGCAAACATTTATACTGAGAAAAGTAATAATTAACGTTGTCACACAAACGTCTTTGCGCAAATGTTTCCTTCCACTTCTGTATCACTTCTTCTTGGGGCTCATCATTTTCTTTTAGCCATTTGATACACTCTTCACTCGTTGATAAAAGGTTGACTAAGTAATAAAAAATTATATATGATATTTATTAAATTTTTTTAAAAATTTTACTTTTATATACTTTTTATTAATAAAAGTTATAAGTTTGTACGAGATTCATTACTATACTTGGTCGCTTTGAAAAAATGAACTATACAGATATTAAGATCTAATAATCATAACCAATAAGAATATTAATTTTTATACCTTCTTCTTGAGTTTCTTCCTTCGAAATAATCTGAAGACTGATTAATCTTTGCCGATATCTTAAATATTTTTCGTATAAAACTCCGCCCGCGTTGACTGCTTTAGAAGATTTTGTAGCCTTTTTAAAAGGATAGTAAAACAATTTTGCAGATTCGTCAATTGTTTTATTTGGTAATTTAAAGATTACGCCTAATTCTTGGGCAAGTTCACCAAACCTATTTGAACTTATTCTGTAAAAAAAATTTTAATTTCAATAGCGGTTAAACTTTTAATTACTTTATTAATAAAATAAATTGTAACTAAAATCAAAACATTAACTTAAAAATATACCTGTAAGAATTTGTACTTTCAAATTCATTTTCTATTACTAAATCACTCAAAAGACGAGTATCAATTGTCAAATTCAGTTTGAATCCCTGTTCTACTATTTTACCTCTAGTCGTTTTCAAAAGTTCACGGACCGTTTTTTTGAATATCGCTAATCAGGTGAATAAATAAATCATAAAGTACAGAAAAATAAAGTAGAATTGTAAGAGGAAAAATCAGGTGAATAAATAAATCATAAAGTACAGAAAAATAAAATAGAATTGTAAGAGAAAAAATAATAACGATCGAAAATCAATAAAAACATACGTATACTGATAACGCCTACTGAACTTTCATCCATTGAATTTGTAGTTTTATTAATTGTCAAATTATTGATATCTGCGGAAGTACAGTTTACTAAATCAAAGGTGCTATTAACTTGCACGATCTCTGACGAAAAACTAAGCGAACATTTCTCGGCCGTTTTCTGTTCACGGTCTTCGATACAATTATAACTCCACATCTCTAACCTATTTAAAAATTTTTTTTTGAACCCGCATTCCGAATCATTAAATATTTTGTCTAACATTTCATTGTCAATTTGTTTAAATATTTCTTCATCAATTCCAGCTTCTGAAATTCAAAAGTAACTTAACTATCACACGTAACACTATGATCATTACAAACAATTGTCTCTTCATTGTCAATGTTATTTTTAAAAAAACAGTGAAAACACTACCATAATATCAAAAAAAATTAATATACGCACGTAGTTTTCGTAAAAAAAATGATCTAATAATCAATTGCAAAGACATTTTACAAAAAATTATAGGTTAGGATTGTCCATTCGGCATACTTACTTTCAAATCTGTCAATGAATTGGTCCAGTTTCCAATTATATAAAATATTTTTAACAAATTCATCCATTTTTCACTATATATTATTCAAAATAAACATTAAAATAATGAAAAAAACGACACAATGAATAAATATACGCAAATGCGCGTCTGAGAGAAACACAACGAACGGGACATGTGACACGGTAGTTATAGCAGAAAACTCATGCAAAAACTGCAGTGTTCCCCACAGTCGTTTCAGCGTTCTTAGGCAAAGCTGAACCCACATGAGTGGATGGCGCTATTTTGGCATCGTTTTTTTCTCAGTGCAGAGAAAAAAGATCACACCTTACTCTATGAACGCATTCGTTAAATTTAGCTAAGGGCTCTTTTTAAACATAAAATTGTAGATGCTTTGAATATCTGATAATAGTGAAAATTTGTGCCTCTGTAAAATTCAGCTTTGCAATACTGTAGTCTGGTGTTCTGATTTTTTTTGTGCTTGTGTTATGTTTGAACCTATATAAACATGAATGACTTTAAATTGTATATTTTTTAATAGCACACTCAAACCCTAAAGAATAATAATTTCTGTGGATTTTATTCCTTGACAGTCCAGGGCCCATATGTGACCAGAAAAAGTCGTGCCAACTGGATGCAAGTGGCCATTTATGGATATCTCAAGAAAAAAATAATAAAATTAAATTGATTTGCCTCAAAATTGTTACTCGGGGGTTTTTGGGATCGCTGAATCTGAATTTAAAGTCAGATTAACGAAGACGTATGTGACACAAAAAAATGATTTTTTTTAAACATTCAAACGGTTTTTTCGAAATTCATAGTCGACAATTTTCAGGATTTTTTTGCGAATGGCGTTCTTACAATTTACTGAATAAAATTATATTTCTGCTTCTAAAAACTTTGCAAACCACTTAAATCTGGTTACTCAAGTGTTACGTCCCGTGAATATTCCCACAGCTGCATAATACATGTTTTTCCAGAAACGATTCTAGATCTGGATAATTTCAAGTATCTTTTAAAACATAGAAAAAATAGTTGCGATTCCGAAAATTAGAACTCAATAAATAGCTAAAACATGTTTCTTTTAAGAGCACAGACTGAAAATGCACATGCGAGTGTCCTTTTTCACATCCTGTACAAGTAGATTCCAGAGTCTGGAAGCAATAAAACGCAGCTATTTGGGAGCCCAGACACAAGTGCACTCTCACTCAAATAAACACCTGATTTAGGTCAGATAATATTCATCCGGTTGTTATATGTTTGAAATATAAAAATAGTTATTTTTATAAATTAATTATTTTATAATTTTAATTATTTTTAACATTGGAAGTTATAAAATAATTACCCTACAACCAATTCAATTATTTCTCAAGTCAGTGTTTATTAACAAAATGAACGATTTTAAACTTTCTTTTAAATAATTAAGCAAGATATAAAAAATTTTATATGTAATAAAGAACAAACGAATAATCTCAATTATTCATGAATTATTTTTAATTATTTTCAATTATTGAAATTTATTAATTGTTTTTACTAATTCTTTTTATAAAATAACTATTAAAGACATATAAAATCTTTTATACTATTAATATTGAATTTTTGATTATATATATTGTTTAAAAATTATTGTTAATAACTTTTCGCTTAATTTAGTTATAAATTGAGTTTGTAAAATTATTTTTAATGGAAATTTGTGCAATTTGTGTATAATTCTCAAAATTTGTTGAAAAAGTGAATTGTGGCACCATCTTTTAAAAATCGGAGAAACTTTTAAACCCCTACTATCTGAAATCATCCCTACGCCCACGCATCCCTACATCTCACAAGGGCGGGCCTGAAGGACCCAATAGTATTCCTGACTTAATAGTTTTCCGCCCTTTTCTTTTTCTTAAGTCCAATCAATGCAGTTTCGACCTAATTTTCTTCCTCCACTCTATAACAATTCACCCTCAAAATCCTCCCTACCGAAAATTTGGAAGGGGCAACTTCTTTAAAAAGACGAACCCCAGTAGGTCAATATTCATTATTTAGTTGCATAATCACACTACTTAGTTATTCCAGTCAATTAGTTAAATTCAGTCAGTTAGTTGATTTCAATTTCTATTTTCAAATAGTCAAATGGTCAATTCAACATCAAATTCGTTATCAGCGACTCCAAAAACCCTTATACTGTAATTTCAAAAAAATAATTGTTTTTTATAAAAGTTGACAGTTGAATTAAGCCTCTGGAAAGTAAAACCACACAAAGAATTTGTAGAGCCATTTAAATTTGTTCTGATGCCAAAGAAGTCAGTTTCTGAAAACAAATTTAACTACGTTATGGTAATGAATATATAATAAGTTTATTAAAAGTGAAATTTATTTTTTGAACATCGCACAGTGGCCGATTTCCCGAAAAACCTGGCCAAAAATCGAAAAATGATACGATTTCAACCAAAATTGGTATACCCATGTTTTTTGGGCTTCTGAATTCAAATTTTACATTGGTTGTGTCAAATTCAAAATGGCGGATCCAAAATGGCCGTTTAGATTTTAGAAAACTTTGCTGAAAATCGAAAAATGATACGATTTCAATCAAAATTGGTATACCCATGTTTTTTGGGCTTCTGAATTCAAATTTTACATTGGTTGTTTCAAATTCAAAATGGCGGATCTAAAATGGCCGTTTAGATGTTTAAAAACTTTGTTAAAAATTAAAAAATGGTACGATTTTAACCAAACTTAGTATACTTACGTTTACTGGGTTTTTGAAATCAAATTTTACATTTGTTTTATCAAATTCAATATGGCGGATCCAAAATATTTGCTGGTATTATAAAATTGCGTATATGTGTTAGAGTTTATTTTTTTTAAATTACAGACAGTGCTTAAATTTTAGTTTAAAGCGAATGCGAATGAAGAAAAAGTCAGTCTTTCATGTTCAGTTGCACCGCCGGCCGGTGCAACGCGCTGTCGGTAAACCGCGCTGGGTGAAATAAAAAGTGATACCAAAACTGCAGGGGCAGCTTCTGGCAGCTGATTTCAATTAAAATGAATCAAAAATATATTCTAGTTTATGATAATACCAGGTAGAGCGCGGACATCGGTGGATTTTACAATTATTTTCATGATTTACGTTGATAAAACAATACAAAAATCGTAGCCATGAATAGCGATGTTTAATGTCATTTTTTAAAAACTGTACGTTTTAAATGTGATGATAAATACATTCAACATATTTCATACACCTTTGTTAATAATTCCCAAAAAAAGATATTCAAAAATCTGCTGTATATTAGTATATTTTCACTATTTTAACTGTGACGAAAATTTATAGTTATGAAACGTTCTGAGTAAATCTCTGGCAAAGATCACTTTTACTTGTTCACATAATAAATTGGTCATAAAAAAAGTGTAATTTTTTTTCGCAAAATTATGCAGTGAACCCTCCTTTATAATATTCAACAATAAAAAGTATAAATTTCTAAAAAAAAATTTTTGACTTTTGGCCAGGTTTTTCGGGAAATCGGCCACTGTGCATCGATTTTTTGAAAATCCGGAACAAATTTAAATGGCTCTTCTAATTCTATGTGTGGTTTTACTTTCCAGACGCTCAATTGACAGCTGTCAACTGTCAAATTGGAACGCCAA